ACAAAAAACTTAAACTGCAAAAAGAAAAAAAAAAACAAATTCAAAATATTGGGTTGCCTCCCAGGAGCGCTTGTTTAACGTCTTCAGCTCGACGCCTATTTGCTTTAGGGCTCATGCAGGTGAGTGATCAAGGTGATATATACGCATTCTTCATCCCTTGACTGTCCTTGTGGGGAATGAATTTATTCTTTTCATTGCGAATAACCTTACGATTGTTAGAGATTGGATAAATCATACCTGCTTCAGGAGGTTTCAGTATCTCTCTTTGAATAACTTCCTTCATAGTCAGACTAAGATGTCTTTGGGGTTGTGCAACAGGCTTGTAATCTTGTTTTTCAGTTGAGATGGGTAATTCCTCCAAAGTATCTATTCTGAGGCAATCTGTCTTGTCTTCCGGTTGCTGTACAGCTTCAAACAGATTGAAATTAACTTCATCATCTCCACTTCTAATTTTCAACTAACCCATGTCAACATTTATAATTAATTTCGCAGTCTTCATAAATAGCCTTCCCAGGATCAATGGGACTTCCTCATTTTCCTCCATGTCCATAATCACAAAATCAACAAGAAATATGAATTTATCCACTCTAACTAAAACATCTTCTGTTACTCCGTAAGGAATCTTTAGAGATATGTCAGCCAGTTGTAGTGTCATTCTTGTAGGCTTTACTTCCAAGTCTCCTATTCTTTTAAGCATAGACAAAGGCATTAGATTTATACTAGCACCCAAATCGAGTAATGTCTTACCTACTTGTAATGTCCCAATTGCGACTAGTATAGTGAAACTGTCAGGATCTTTGGACTTTTGAGGCAATGATTTCTGAATTATAGCGCTGCATCCTGCTTCTAGCTCCACTGTTTCTGTAATAAATCTTCTTTTCTTAGTTAACAATTCTTTCATGAATTTTGCATAAGTCGGCATCTGCTCCATAGCTTCCATAAATGGAATATTAATTTGTAAATGCTTGAAAATATCCATGAATCTTACAAACTATTTTTCTTTATCTATCTATGAGGGAACCTTGGGATATGGTAACTTCGCTACAAATGGTTTTTGACTCCCTCCTTTTTCTATCTTTTGTTTTTCCTCTCCCTCTTCATTCTTCTTATTAGGGATATGTCTTTCTTTATTATTCTCCTCTTCTTGCTCTTCATCTTCTTTTACTAAAACTTCTTCTTCAACAACTATATTGTCACTAATCCCCTTACCCATAACTTTTCCACTCCTTGTAGTTATTGAATTGCATTGCTCCCTAGGGTTGGTTTGTGTGTTAGCTGAAAATTGTCCTCCTTGTTGCTGCTCACATAATTTCTTAGCCAGTTGGCCTATCTGGATCTCTATATTTATGAATGAAGCCTCAGTATTTTTCTGATTAGCCATAGTGCCTTGCATGAATTTTTCTAAAGTTGCCTCAGTATTTTTCTGATTAGTCATAGTACCTTGCATGAATTTTTCTAAAGTATCCTCCAATTTACTTATTCTGTCAGGCACAGAAGGATAATGTTGTTACTGTTGTTGATATGGAGGTTGCTTAAATGACTGTTGTTGAAATGTAGGTTGTCTAGTAGATGAGCTAACACCTTGGTTCCACCCAGAATTCTGATTCTGATTTTGATTCCCTCTCCATCCTTGTGCAAAATTATTCTGATAATTATTGAGATTAGAAAAATTGTCTTGTCTGCCTTGACTACTACATTGGACCCCCATATAATTAGCTTCTTCTTGCTGAATGTTGTCTTGATAAGAACATTGTTCATTTGCATGATCACCTCCACACACATCACAACTCATCTGTTGATTAAGAATAGATTGTACTGTGTGTATTTGTTAAGGTAATTTCTCTATCTTCTGGTTCAATGCTTCAATTTGTTGCGTTATAAGTTATTCTGGGCTAAGATAGCATCTGAGCTGTTAAGTTCAAGTACTCCCTTCCTTTGAATTGGATGTCTATCATGTTGGGCCTATTGGTCTGTAAAGGCTAGTGCATCAATAATTCTGGTGGCATGATCAATTTCTACATCCAACATAGATCCTCTTGCTGCAGCCTCTAATAACATCTTTGCATCATGTCGCAAGCCAGTATAGAAAATATTCAACTGAGAAACGTCATCAAATCCATGATTTGGGAAACTTCTTAACAGTGATTTAAATTTCTCCCATGCTTCACAAAATTGTTCATCTGCTTCTTATCTGAAAGAAGTGATGTCAGATTTTGCTTTGATGTAACGGGATGGTGGGAAAAATTTATTCAGAAACTTCTCTTCTACACTACTCCAATTAGTCAGACTCTGATTGGGATGTGCTTTCAGTCATTCCTTTGCCCTACCTGCCAAAGAAAAAGAAAATAATATCAAATATGCAGATTCAAGATTTGCTGCTCTAAATCCCATGGTACCAATCAACTCATAAAAAGTAGACAAATGAATATAAGGGTCTTCATGATCCAATCCAGTGAATTGATGAGCACTAATCAAGCTTAAGAAAGTTGGATTCATCTGCAATGTATGATCATCCGGAATGACAATGCTGGAAAAATGTCTTGGACTTTGCTGCATAACACAATTTCTAAGAGTTCTTCTAGGTAGATTTGAATTTGAGTTTTGATTTGGATTTGTATTGGGATATGGATTTGGATTCAGATTTGCTCCTTCTTCCACCATATCTTCTATAATTGGGTCTGGTAAATCAAGTGTGAAAGAAGAATTAGCAGATTCTCTTGTGGCTTGTTCTTGAGTTTCCCTTCTTCTTCTACCCCGGTTCCTCCGAGCTTTTTTTTTTCAATCTTTGGATTAAATTATAACTGCTCTGAATATACCTATCCTCTTAAACGCATAAATCAAAAGAGTAACTCAAACAAATATTAGTACAAACTAAAAACTAAATAATAATAATAATAATAATAATAATAATAATAATAATAGTAATAGTAATAGTAATAGTAATAGTAATAGTAATAGTAATAGTAATAGTAATAGTAATAGTGATAGTGATAGTGATAGTGATAATGATAATAATAGTAATAGTAATAATGATAATGATAATAGTAATAATAATAATAATAATAATAATAATAATAATAATAATAATAATAATAATAATAATAATAATAATAATAATAATGATAATGATAATAATGATAATAATAATAATAATAATAATAATAATAATAATAATGATAATAATAATAATAATGATAATAATAATGATAATAATAATGATAATAATAATAATAATAATAATAATAAAAATAATAATGATAATAATAATAATAATAATAATAATAATAATAATAAAACAGAAATAAAAATAAAATACTCAATAAGTTAAATAAAGAATTCTCAAAGAACACCATTCTCCAAGCAACGGCGCTAGAAATACTTGTTGAATTATTGGCAAGCGTACCAAATTATCAATCGCAGATATAGTATTTCGATTAAATAAAAGTCGATCCCACGAGGAACAGTTTCAATGGAAATTTCCAATTATGCTTATTAAGTATATTAAACAGATTGGGTTTTGCAAATAAGAGTTGAATTAAAATTAAATGACAAAAAATTGTAAATTGTTGAGAAAATATCAATTAAAGGTACTTAGGATTGACTTCCTTCCTTATCTCTCTTTTGTAATGGCTAAATCAATTAAGAACGTCAATTAACCTAACAATGTTGATGACACCTACTCAAATCATCCATGTTGATTCCTCACACATGAAATTCATAAGAAAACCTAATAAATGTTGATTCATCACACAATTAACAGATTTTCCAGCATTAGAGTTAGGGTGTTTAAGCAATTGATACATTCATTCCATTCCTGACAATTAACGTAACAAATATTCTTACCGTGATCAAGGGTTCAAGATATATTTTCCAATCATACCCCAAACATCAAGAATAAATCATTCCAAAGTATAAAGGATAAGAATAACAACATCAAAGCATAGATTAATATCTCAAAATATCACCATGATACAAAAGAGTTCAAAGGAAGTGCACCCAATCCTAAGAGAATGAAGTTAGTCACTCATGTTGGTCATTACAATGCTCCAATTGATGAAGAAGTGAAGAATTGATGAAGATTGGACAAAATCCTAACAGTAATTGTGTCTTCTCTCCTCTAAGACTGCTTGTTTTTCTCAAAACACAACTTATCTTTTTATAAGAGAATTTGGGTCGGACCTTGCATCATTCATTGGCTTAAGCGTTCTTCTTTCTTTCAAATTTACTCCAATTATGATGACAATTATACTCCTTACTCTTGTATCAAGGAATTCTCGAATTCATCGTATATTGGGAGAAAAATATATTAGAATTAACATAAATTAAGTTGTTTCTTAACCATTTAAGGCATAATTATATTAATTTTTTACCACTTAACAACTTTAATGCTTTATTACATACTTTCATAATTGAGTATTATTGTTTTCTTCAATATTTTCATTTAGTTATTTCCATTATTGGCTTCCATAGGATAGTTTCCTGGTTTTTAGTAGGTTCATAGTTTATTACTTTAGATTTACTGTTTTTTACTCCAAAAACTTATAAAAAAAACATAAATAAAATGTAAATTTTGATCCATGCTTTAATTTTCCACAAACCTTATTATTGACCGCAGGCAAGAAGCCTATCAAGCATTTGCCTTTCCAGAAATTTATAATCAAACAATTTATTCAAACTTTTTTTGCACAAATCAACTATATCATTTATTACAACAACATCGTCAAAAAGTTGAATAAATCGATACGACGGGATATAATAATATATAGTATTTAAGCTTCTGAAAAATCATTTTGAAAATGCAACCTATGAGAAAAAAAACCGATTAAAATTATTAATTTTTAAGGATGTTTTTTTCCTTCGAAGACAGGGACTAAACTATAACATGATGCTTTCATGCATTTATCATGATGTAAAATTCCACATTTCCAAATTGATTAGGTCTCCAAAGTATTTGATAAAGTTCAACAGTTGAATTGTTGGCAACTAAATTTTTCTTATAGGAATAGATCAAGGGGAAATGGTAAGGTTTGATCTCTATTTAAAAATCTCTTTTAAAATTAAAGTTAAATATGTTTTTACTTTTTATAAAATAAATAAATTTTGATTATTGTATTTTAGAAAACGTTATTTAGTTTTCATACCTTGAAAAAATGTGAAACCATCATAGTTTTGTCAACTTCTCAATCAACAACTATTTTTGTGTGTGTAAAGCAATGAAAATTAATTATTCTATTTGATGCTCACTAGTGGTAATTATGGTACTTTGTAAGTGTCTGACACTTTTAATTTTTTTAATAAACAAGTTTATTCATCTAACTTAAGAATGTGTAATAATAAATTTAAATTTTGAATGAAAATCAAAGAAAAATTATTCATAATAATCGAAATCAAACTTAGCTTGTTTTATTCCAAAATTTAAAGGAAAAAATATTTCCATAAAGATTAAACTAAAAAAATTGATATACTTCTTATTTAATAGTATTGATATTATGGATATATAATAAAAGTAAGATGGGTTTATGATAGACAATTTTGTTGATTTCGAGCATAGTATATTATATTATTAATGCATTATATAATGTGGATGATGTATATTATTGTTAACATAGACTTAGATATAATTTATATTAATGAAATTAAACTTAACTCCTAAATATTAGAATATTTTAACTAGTCCATGTCTTACTCTTGTTTTTTTTTGGATCCATTCGTGTGTCTATGCATGGTGTATGAAAATAGTGTTATATAGTTTAAGATTATTATTTTTAAAATAAAAGTTAATCAATACAATTAAATGAATAAGTTTAAGAAAATTAATTTAAGAAGTGAAAATAAGTCTCATAATATCATTAAAATAAAATTTGAAGTAATAATGTTACTAAAATGATTATATGAATTTCTAAGTTAATTAAAACTAGGATATTCACATATTCAATATGTTGTTTAAAAGTTTTCTTTGAACAATGGTATTTTTTTTAATTGTTTTCTACCTCCTAATTTTAATATTTCATTTATTTATCATTAATATTGAATCAATTTTGACTTATAATGCTTCTCTTAATCATTTTTCGCATAACTTTTAAGTAGAAATAAGATTTTAGTTTAGATTTTTGCAATAAGAAAATTTTAGATATTCATATGTCCGAAACTGAACAAAATAAAACATAAGAAAAAAAAATCTTCTCAAATCGTGTGGTGTTATTAGTCCCTATAAGAAGTTAGGGAATTGGATTAGAAGAATCTCTGCCGTTATGATTTTTCAAATATATATCAATTAAAAAGCAAATAAACGAGGAAAAAAAGTTGGACCACATTATTATGAGTGTAGAACCTGTAGTCAAAAATATTCAAGTGCAGGAAATCATCATGTCCAAAAAAAACTCCTCATAAAGGTGAGATAAATCATATTTACAATTTACTGTAATATTAATTTTGTTTATATATATTTCTATATTTCTTTTGATAACACACACACACACAAACAAATTATTGATAAAAACAAAAATGTAAATTTGTTTATTAACAATTTATCTAAAACACTTTAGTTATACAACCACCTAATAATATAATTAATATTAAAATTAATCATGAAATTCTTTGTCCTTTTGCAACTACTTAAAATTATTGTTTAATTAATGTAAGATAATTATGCTCAAATAAAATAAAATTGTAAAAAGGACAACTTTTCTTTTTCATATTTAATAATATTGTATATGTAGAATTTGAGCTCAAAACTATTCATTAAATTAAAACAATTGTGCATGATCTATACATTAGGTAATTACGTATACAAATGCTTTGAATATGGACCTGAAGCATATGGAGAGGTAAGTCAGAAGGCTATGTCAAAACCTAAAAATAATTTTATTTGTAGCACAAAAGTCAGCTATCAAAATAGTCCAAGGAATACATGTAGAGAGAAAGAGGTAGGTCCTATGAAAGGCACAATTAATCTCCAATTAATGCATGAGAGTTGAAATAATAATAGTGTTCAGCAGCATGTCCATGGCGTTTTGTGCAACTGTGGCGACCCTACTCCTTCTCCTATGTTCTGACTCAACTTTTGTCAACCATTTTGTTAATATTAGAATCTGTTCACATATGTTCACAAACCTGGAGCTGGTTTCAACCAAACCTGCTACTGTTCCACATCTCACCCTTCTCTTCTCTTCACTATATATACACATCAAAATGAACACAAGATTATCACCCCAACAAAACTTTGGTTTTCATCTCCCACTACCTCCTACTCCTCATAGGCTTATACTCCCGCTACATTCATTTTCTTTGTATATTTCTCAATCCAGGTAATGAGGGATGGATATATAACTCTAATATTATGTTCCACTTTCTATTTTCTCAACTGTGGGAAACTACATTTTGATGTCTCCTCAAATATGTGCATTTACTAGAATGTTATATAGATTTTATAAGCATGGTGAACATTTTTCTTGTTATGCAGTTATTCTTAGTTTACATGCATATGCAGGACATTTTATATTGAGAAGCTACCGCAGATGACTCCAGCAATGGTAGGAAATGGTGAGAGTGATACACCAGGAAGTCAATATCAGAAAGGAGTGAAGCAGCTTGTTGATAATGGCCTTCACACTATACCTAAAAGATACATACTTCCACCTTCTGATCGACCTGCTACAAACTCAGAAGATTCAAATGTTGTCAAGCAAAACCTTGAGCTACCCATCATTGATTTTTCTGAATTACTTGGTCCAAAAAGGCAACAAGTCCTTCAATCCCTAGCCAATGCTTGTGAAGAGTACGGTTTTTTTCAGGTGAGAAACCATCTGGGCACCTAATTTCCCTAAACTTGATGAATTAGTGAAACCTTGTGACTAATAATATATACGTGTTGAGCTACATATATAACAGTTGGTGTTAAACAATTTGGACCCTTCATCTATAAGCACTTGAAGTTGTATATTTGACTCTTGGATGATGTGAAATTGGAATCAGATTCATTTTGTGATTGATGCAGCTGGTAAACCATGGTATCTCTGATGATGTTATCAGCAGCATGAGGGATGTGAGTGGAAGGTTCTTTGATCTTCCTTTTGAGGAAAGAGCAAAGTACATGACAACTGATATGCGAGCACCTGTTCGATGTGGAACCAGCTTCAGCCAAACCAAAGACACTGTATTGTGTTGGAGAGACTTCTTGAAACTCCTCTGTCATCCTTTACCTGATTTCCTCCCTCATTGGCCAGCTTCCCCTTTAGACTTTAGGTGTGTACACTCTCACCTTAATATTAAATATTACTTAAATTAAATATTAATATATTCACTCTCTCTCTCTCTCTCTCTCTGCACAGACAACATTTTTAATATTAATTCCTATAGTATCCATCTATATATCACAGACTCTGATCATTAGCAGCTTTCTCCCTACACAAATTAACAACTTCATGCCAACGAGATTGATGCAAGTGGTAGGATTAAATAACATGATTACGGCTCTTAAAAAAGGCTCGTGACATGATCCATAAAAATATATTATCTCCCTTTTCTTAAACATTTTTCTACTAATTCCATCTCTTGCAGAATATAATTTTAAGATTTAAGTTGGGCTGATATTCACGTAATTGGTTGTAGTTTCATTCCGATTATTAATATAGTGAAAAATTAGTGTCAATTTGGTCAGCATAACAGTCTTTTCTTTTCTGCTCAAACAAGTTGTCTTAAGTTAAATACATGTTAGCTCATAAAAAAGAGTTCAAGTCTGTTATAGGTGGCACAGTCGTCGTTTAAAACTTGAAAAAAAACAAAGTTAAAGTCAATTATACTTATTACATCATTTAAAACTTGAAAATAATATATATTATTTTTGAAAAACTGATACAAAGTTCAATAAAGTTGAGCTACTTTATACGAAATTTTTATGATAGAGGTTTGAAGATGAAAAGCTTATAACTTCCTCAATTTTTTTTAAGGATTCCAACAAAGTTTAACATGAGGAATCTTAAGTTTTCTTTCCAACGAAATTGTTATGGTGTTATTTGAATAAATAAAATCTGAAAATAGAAAATCGCGCAAAACAAATATCAAATTAAGGTATAGTCTAAGCCTACAATAGACTCTAAAATAATCATTTAAAATATCAAATAAAATTAAAAAAAATATAAACTTCATAAAGTAAATTGACGCAGTAAGTTACAATTATTAGGAGTAAGGACAAAGTTATATTTTACTTATAAACTTTGATTAATTGTAGGAAAGTGGTGGCTACCTACGCTGAAGAAACCAGAGACTTGTTCCTGATGTTGATGGAAGCCATCCAAGAGAGTTTAGGAATCATTGAAGGAAACGAAGAAGAAGAGACAGAAGAAAAAGACAATATTCTGAAAGACTTGGAAGATGGGAGCCAGATGATGGTGTTCAATCTATATCCACCATGCCCTGAACCTGATCTAACCTTGGGGATGCCCCCTCACTCTGATTATGGATTCCTCACACTCCTCCTCCAAGACCAGGTCCAGGGTTTGCAGGTACATTTCCAAGGTCAATGGTTCACTGTTCAACCTATCAATAACGCTTTCGTTGTCAATGTTGGTGATCACTTAGAGGTAAAACATACATTTCTTCCTTCATTCATTAATTACGTTACACAACACATTCTTTTAAAGCAGTTTTTTTGGGTGAATTTAATTATCAGATATACAGCAATGGGAAGTACAAGAGCGTGTTGCACAGGGTCATGGTTAATGCAGAGAAGAAAAGAACATCAGTGGCTTCTCTCCATAGCCTTCCTTTCAACTGCACTGTAAGACCGTCACCAAAACTCATTGACCAAGCCAATCCCAAACGTTACGCAGACACCAATTTCCATACTTTTCTTGCCTACGTTTCCACCAGAGAGTCCAAGCGAAAGGATTTTCTCGACTCCAGGAAATTGACTTCTACTTGTCTCCAAGAAGAAAATAATTTTCATTAGATTATAGGAATTATATATAAATCCAAGTGAAGTACCATGGCACACAATAGGGGAAAATTTTAAATTATCTATGTAACATATATTATTGTTATTGTTATGTATTATTATTAATAATGTTGATTTGGTTGGACCACTCTGATTCTCACTGATCATAGACATGCAATCTCTGAGTAATTGCATTATTATTATATTTGTGTACTACGTTATCAGTCTCGTGAGGAAAGATGCTACTGTGGTAGCTCTAATGTGTAGGGAAAGAAAATTTTGCACGGTGAGATCCAAGTATTTGCCAAAAAGTAAAAGAAAACTAGAAGTCGATAACGATGGATGCATGGTACTTTGATTAATTACGGATTTTCTTTGCATTCACACTGCCACGATAAGATTGCTACCCAAGGTTAAGTCTTGTAGATGCAATCAAAGTTGGGTCATATTATTATTCCATTAGGATACTGAACAACATCTTAACTTTGACCTTTGAAATTTTCTAAACAATACTTTCCAACAATTTAGAATAAGATAATCATTCTAGCAAACCTAAATTTTTCATTTAAAAATAGAAAATAAGGATGATTTATAATTTTTTTTCTTAATCTATTAAAATACCATTTTTGTTACAAAACCGTAAGATTTAAGACAAATAGGATGTTATTACCCTAAACTATTGAATAAAGACACAAAGTTGATGGTAAAAAAAAGTGCAACATGCACCAAAATAAGTTATCAAAATTCTAGCAAATGCTCATATCCTAACTTCCACTGTTTGGAAGTTTTCTCAAGCGTAAAACATTTGGCCACATTAGAATGAATGGGAACAGGTAATTCTTCCTCGTGCCTCTTGGATATTGGTGAGAATCAGTACTCCCCAAAAAAAGATTTTACCACAAACGGTTCATCTTTCTTCCACTACAAGAAAAAACGCTATTAGCGACGGAAAAATTCGGTCGCTAATGGCCAAAATTCGGTCGCTATTCTGTTAGCGACCGAAATTAGCGACCGAAATGGTTGGTCACAAAAGGGCAAGTCGCTAATTTGTTAGCGACCGATTTACATTTCGGTCGCTAAATAGCGACCGATGAAGTGGTCGCTAAATAATTTGGTCACTTATTCATTGAAGACCAAAATAGCGACCGAAACTAATATAATAAATCGGTCGCTAAATTCGTGGTAAAGTTTTAAAAAATAGCGACCGATATATTCGGTCGCTAATATATTAATATAATTATTTAAATAAAAATTAAAATTGGTCGCTAAGTCGGTCGCTAAATTGGAGACAAAGTTAACAATAATAACGACGGATATAATCGGTCGCTAATATATTAATTGAATTATTTAACTAATAATTTAAATCGGTCGCTAAATTTGAATTGTATATTATAATAAATTTGTAGCGACCAAAAATTCGGTCGCTAATCTAACCAAATCTGAAAATTTTCATTTAAAATTTTGTATATCCAATTTGACAAAATTTGTACCTACTTAATTCATCCAAACATAACACAAATGAAAACTTAAGAACTAAAGTCAAATTTTGTATATCCAATTTTACAAAATTTGTACCTGCTTAATTCATCCAAACATAACACAAATGAAACTTAAGAACTTAACAACTAATCAAGATTCAAAGTCTTAATATCATAAAATTGAAAATTAGTCCTCTGGTATATTGTCAGTGTCATGTTGACTTGTAGTAGGATGACTATTCATTTGAATATGTTGACATTTGAATATGTTGTTTTCTGTGGACTTAAGACTATATTTCAATTGTAGAAAATGCATATATACCAAGAAAGGGTGAGACACAATAAAGGTGAACAAAAAAAAAATAGTATCATAGTAATGATACATTTCCCTTCATAAAACTGAATTGTAACGTCGCTTCTTTTGTGGTGTTGAATGTGCCTGTGCTTTGATCCCATATGTCTTCAATTGAAAATTTTCAAAAGCCTCTGAAATTGTCTGCACCTATAGGATTGCACAAAGCAATATATTAGTGAATCCAACCTGAATGGGTAAAGGAAAGAAGTTTAAACATGCACAGGATAACTAACCAGTTCAGCCTTTTTGGAGTACACCTTAACTATCATATCTTGGTAAGATATAGGTAGCAAGTGGCTTACACGGTCATCGGGTATTGTAAATTTCTCATTGCTTTCATAATCCTGAATGCATTATTGAAACTAGGTAACTCAATACAGCTAGCATAATTTAATTCCAAACTAAGCACCAATAATCGGGCCAAACTAAACCACTTTAAATATTTCAATAATTTTGAACAATTGCAGCCCAGTATCCCAACAGAAGTAATATAAAACAGTTTAAACTAAAACTTATTAGCAAGGAAACTGTCAAACTGCATAAGGTAAGAGGTTTAATAGTGCAAAAAAAAGATATAATCCACTAATACAATATAGACACAGGCAAAACCAATTAATATATAAGAAGATTAAAGAAATATCTTGATGAAAGATAGTTAGGTAGGTTTGGCGATGTACTTTGAAAAAGTGGATGCTGCCACAGAAACATGCACCATAAGAGAGAAAAATAATGCATTAGGATAACATTATAGTAAGTTAAAACAAACTAAATGTATATGTTCAGCAAGCATGATTATTCTTCATTGAATACCTTTCAAGAGGATTATGATTTCCACTAGTCAAATCAATTTTGACGTTACAAACAACTACATCCTCCTCTTTCAGAGTAACTCCACCACTCTTCTGCCAGATACATATATAAAAAAAAAATGGAATTCCTCCTTGAAGAGAAAGAATCAAAATTATATACAATTTGCAAATGAGAAGGTTTAATCGGATTGAAGACCTGAGAGCAAACAATATCTTGAGGGGTAACCTTCTTAAAATTGTCTAGCATACCCTTGGGTACTGGGTACCCATTACAAAACTGCAAAACAAAATTCTTCCTCAGGTTCAGCAAGATATATAATTATAATTATAATTTAATAAATACACACAAACATTTTAGGCCAATGTAATGTAAATTTAGAAACATCCACACAATAGTTAGCATTGAATTTGTGACAAACAGCTTGAGAAGATACGATGACGTAATAGGTAATTGCAGCAGGTAATTGACAACAATCAAAGAAAACCAACAGGTTAAAAACATGTCTGGTACAAATTCCTCCTTCGAATGCGCAGGATGAACTCCCTGGCCTCCTTTAGTTCTTGACTTGTACTTGTCTCAATAGTTTTAACTATTGTGTCATCATGAAAACTACATATTCAGGAAAAAAAAACTAAACGGAAATAACAGTATAAGACCCAGAATCAAACCGGAACCCGATTCAACCAATAGAGGTAGTCAGTTTGACAATTCATACGAAAATAAACCAGACCCACACACAATTCATCCTTAACCAAGGAGAACAATCCACAGTTAAAAGGCATAAAAGAAATAGAACATATCAGCAAAATGTGAACCGAAGGGCTTGACCCGCGACCCCTCTGACTCACCTCTAGTGCGCGGCTGGTTCAATAATGGAGGTTAGGTTGAGATTTAGGGATGGCCACGATGGTGGCCAGGGAGGCGGTGGTGATGACTGAGGTTTGGTGAAGGTTGGATTAGGGTGAGGGCTGACTTGGGGGGAGCAGTGAGGGGGCTAGGGCTCGCCGGGAGTGAGTAGGAGATACTGGCCAAGGTTAAGAGGAATGGGTGAGTGAGGCGCGAGAGTTAGGGTTATTTGGGGATAAGTGGCGCGAGATACGAAAGTGAAAAATGTGGTAGTATATGATAGCGGTTAAATCTTAACTGCTATTATAATATCACTTCTAATAGCGGTTAAATCTCAACCGCTATTATATAGCACTTCTAATAGCGGTTAAATCTTAACCGCTATTATATATTTTCAAATATGATCGATCATTTGAAAATGTAATCGATCATAATCAAAAAATGTGGATGTCGCTCGAGCGAGATAAGTGTCGCTCAAGCGAAAAACAACCCGAGAATGTCAATTTTGTGCAGGTGGCGTCGCTCGAGCGAGAGTACTGTCGCTCAAGCGAAATACAACCCGAGAATGCCAATTTTGTGCACGTCTCGTCGCTCGAGCGATGTTATTTTCGCTTGAGCAAATGTTGACCTGCTAACCGTCGATCAAAGTTAGCCGGATAATGTAACATGGGTGACCTTATGAATCGGATTTCGCTCGAGCGAGTATAGTGTCGCTCAAGCGAAATACAACCTGAGACTTGACAATCTTAAAATGTGGTTGTATATGATAGCGGTTCCACTCGAACCGCTATTAAAAGAGCACTTCTAATAAATTTAATTCTTTAAATTCAGTAGTTAGAAACTAAAATTATAGTTTCTCTGTTTTAAATAATTAAAATAAAAATCAAAACTAGTATTATCTTAATTTTATTAAAAGTGTAATTAAATCTCTATTTTCTTAATTTTATTTGTTTCAAACTTCTCAATTCTACATTTTTGTAAGTTCTATCATTATATTATCATCCTCATCTCCTCCCATGTTCTACTTTATCTTTACAATAGTCAATATTCTTAAATAATTTATATTTTTAATTATAATTTTTTAGTATATATTTTAGAAATTAATCAATTCTAATCTATTATTTGAAAAACTAATCAATTCTAATCAAAAATTTAGAAAACTAATCGATTATAAATAATTATTTGAAAAAATTCTCAAATATGATCGATCATTTTGAAAATCTAATCGATCAAAATCAAAAAATCTGGTTGTATATGATAGCGGTTCCATCTGAACCGCTATTAAAGAGCACTTCTAATAGCGGTTAACCCTTAACCGCTATCTAAAATATACTTTAGATAACGGTTAACGTGGAACCGCTATTATATCTTCTCAATTATGATCGATCGTTTCTAATTATAATCGATCATAATGAAAACTTACATTAACTATTTTTTTGAATATTTTGTTTTTAAATTTGCTATTAGAGAAAACCTTTCAGAATTCAAAATGTTAAATACTTTTAAATATTAAAATTAACTTTATC